TCAACTGGTCGCCTGTCCAACCTCGTGTGGTTTTTTCTCGGTTTCCTCCCACTGCTAAAGACCCCTAACGCGCAAGTAATTTATTGAAATAACCATATGTTAGTCTCGAAATAACCTAGTTTGTGTCGAGTGGACGTTAAACCTCATTTCTCTTTTTTGGAGGGATGAAGAACTTACAATCAGCCCCTAGACACCAACCCACCCTCTTGTCGTCAACTCTCCAATTTCTAAAATTTGTTTATGCAATGTGTTGGACACTTGGGAATTCCAAGGTGGGAGTGGGGGAGGGGTGATATCGTCACCCCAGAGGAACAGTTGGGAAACCCAGTTTTTACGAGGGACCTTTCCGAGATATTATGATATTTCCCGCCAATTTTAGGAATTCCACACTGTAATACTTTTAGTATTTTTATTTTATTTTACTTTCAAATACGCCGTGGCACAGATAACTTGACAAGCGCCTAAAATAGAGTTTTGGACAATTATGACCCCACATGTCGGGTGTTCGATCCCTGCATTGGCCGAGAAAGTGCATCCAGATTTTTCGGCGTGGTTTCCCCTTGTCAATGATGCAGGACGGAGGGCCTGACAAGGACGGCTGTCTAGTCGTACGGATGGGACGAAAAACCGAGGTCCCGTGTACACATTGGCGTGCACGTAAAAGATCCCTTGGCAGTTGGAATTCTATATAAGAGTAGGCCGTAGTGCCGCCGCCTGGGCAAAATTTCCCTCATTGCACACTGTATGGCGTATGCCCGTCTTCATTATCCCAGTTTCGGAGCAGAACAGTGGGACTAATGTGCCTATTCCTAGCTTTGACTTTGACTAGTTTGAGGAATAGACTGATGATAGTGATAGACCCATCCCAGAAAAAAATTAGGTGAATCCTAATAATTAATATTATTATTAATGACCAACCACAGACAAGAAAATTACGAGGAAGGCAAAAATTATGTGATTAAAGTAACTAGGCTAAATAATAAAAAAAAAACATATTCACATTTATGATTTCACATTCTCATTTATTTAAAGTCATAAGACTCATACAGAATTAATAACAGTTATATATATATATATATATATTTAATGTATATACAATAAGAGAATAAAATAATATGAAGGCCAATTATTCTAGTAAATTGTAGAAAAAAAATAAAGTGGTAAACTAGTCCTTTTGGAGAAAATATTTTCAAAACTGGATTGTTTAAAGGGACAATAACACTCTTGCTAGGTTGACAGCTCCAGAAAATAAAAAAAATAGTCTTATTCTAAGTACTAGATGTGTTAGTGTCTTACCTGTTGCGTAAATTATCCATTAAATCCTATTTTACTTGTCCAGAAGGTTCAAAAATATTTTTAAATCCAAGTCACATTTGAAAAGCTTTACGTCAGGCTTTTCGAATCATTTAGTTGAATTTTTCCAATTTTTTAAATTAGGTGTGTAAAGATGAAATTTGTATCATCAATTAATTGGAATATTGTAAAATAGTACAATTTGTTGACCAGAATAAAGATTGGGACATATTATTCAGTTACAACAAGAGTGGTATTGAGCCTTTAAATTAATTCAATATTTAATTGGGAAGATTATTATTAAACCAATTAAAACAGGATTTTTTGTAGATAATTTACACTTTGTTACCTCTTATCTGTGATATTCTTATTATTTTAAATTATCTTTTATCTGTGAAAAATCTCCCTTATCACTAGCATATTATTAGGCCTAATAATAAAATAATTTCAAATTGTTAAAAAATAAAACCAGGCAAACTAGCATATTAATTATTATTGTTACTATAGTATTATAGATAGGATAGGCCTGTATCGTGTTTTTCTTTTTAATGAATTATCCAAAACATTTACTTAGTAACTTAGGCCTCGTTAGTTTTAATGTCAAATAAAGTAATTATTATCAATTGTATACATAGGCCTATACAGTACTTCACGTCACGTCTTCGGTTCAACGGACCTAGGCTAGGGCCTAGACAGTCAACTCAAGTCCAGGGAGTCAAGTGGGTGCTTTGCTTGCCGCTTAGCCTTGGCCTTCTTAGATAGGGAAGACCGTAAATAATGTCGCGCTGTCGCAATTACAAAGATGACATTTGTGATGCCAAAAATGGTAGATGGACAATTAAATGGCCCATTGGGGTAGGGTAGTGTTGACAGACTGCCTCAATGGTCAATAGACAAGTAGGCTTAGTTCTAGTACGATGTCAACAACATTGACAACAATGAATGTCAAAAGATAAGTGCAAGGAAACGCGGTGCTTGTGCAAAGCTCTTTTCCGGTAACACAGGAGCGTAATTGAAAATGTCACCCACAAACTGTTGATTAAAAAAAAATTCAGCCGGAACCGGATACACTGGGCAAAACAGGCAATGCGCATGTCAACTTACCAAATCTCATCCAAGCGAGATCACGTAACTAACAAAAATAATTCTATCCGCCAAATCTCGCCCAAGCGAGATTACTCGCCTCATAGAACTATTTCTATGACGCGTCTAATCAATGACGTCACATATTTTTTTACGTCAATGAAAATAATTCTCACACTTTTTTGTATAAAATTTAGATCTCAATAAAAACTAAATTATTTAATATTTTTTGTATCACCTGAGAAAATTAATTATGAATGAAGGTTTTATATTTAACAATAATAAGCTTCGCTCTACTCAGGCAATGCCTGTTACATATAAATAATAATTTTACAGTAAAACTTACCTGTGACAAGTAACAGAATGTTGTCGATCTTTATATCTGGCCTTTTACTTTGACTTTAGTGCAGACGGCATGATTTTATTCAAAGTCGAGTAGGAGCGTAATTGAAAATGTCACCCACAGACTGTTGATTAAAAAAAAATTCAGACAGGAACCGGATACACTGGGGAAAACAGGCAATGCGCATGTCAACTTACCAAATCTCGACCAAACGAGATCACGTAACTAACAAAAATAATTCTGGGAGATGCTAATTGTAGGGCGGTTGGGGAGGTTCGGGAATTTCCGGAGCCCAAAATGGCCGATTTTTATAAATGAGTATTTTGGGGAATACTAACCCGAACCCTAACCATAACCCTTTTAAGAGGGGTAAACATTAAATTAGATCCAAGTTCAGTCTTCTAAAAAGGGTTAGGGTTAGGATTAGGGGTTAGTATTCCCCAAAATTTTCATTTATATAAAGCGGCCATTTTGGATTCCGGAAACACCCGAACCTCCCCAACCGGCCTACAATTAGCATCTTAATTCTACACACCGAATTTCGTCCAAGCGAGATTACGCGCCTCATAGAACTATTTCTATGACGCGTCTAATCAATGACGTCACATATTTTTTTACGTCAATGAAAATAATTCTCACACTTTTTTGTTCTTTTTTTTTTAAAAAAAATTAATGTATAAAATTTAAATCTAAATTAAAATCAATTTTGAAAAACTAAATTATTTAACATTGTTTGTATCACTCGAGAAAATTAATTATGAAGGTTTTATATTTGACAATAATTAGCTTCGCTCTACTCAGGCAATGTCTGTTTCATATTAATACTCCTTGGACTAGACAACCTGCTCTAAATGACGTCAGGCTGTTTCCTACGTCACTGCGCTATTCTGACTTCAATATAGAGACAGGTAGCGGGCAGCCATCTTGCCGGGAGGAATTCCTCCCGGAAGTGCACATCTCTTTCTGCGCACATTACCAATGTAAACAAAAACATGATCGGACGCTGAAGTATGCAATAAAGATGTCAACACCAATTAAATGCAGCGGTAGTTTATGTTTAGCTTGTGGATTAGAGCCGAAACTATGCAATTTTTTCTCATTAATGGAATTTAGGATCTGGAAGAGTTATTATGGCGTGACGGATTAGCCAATGAAATCATCTGTTACAGCGACTTCATGTGGGTAAAACTTTAGAAACGTCAACGCTGATTGATTAATCAATATCTGACGTCATAGGACCTCTGACTCGAAATTTAAATACAACCGGCCAGATCTTCATGTACTGTAGGCCATCGAAAGTTTAAAAAACGGAACGAAATATAGATCTGTATTCTAATCAGATTGTTTCTCTTTCAGACTAATGAAAATATTAGTTTGCTGAAATATAAAATATAGCCCCCCCCCCCCCCAATGTAATATTTTTGGAAATATTTTAATATTTTATCGAAATGAAATGAAATGGGGTTTAACGTCCTACTGTTCTGCCCCGAGCAGAAAACAAAACTTACCTTGTTCTAGTAATGATGATACTGCTAAGTGATTTAATGAAAGTTTGACTTGTATTTATATAAGTATAGAAACAGCGCCCAGACCTAATTTTATAATACACCTTTATAAATGCAATCTTATTTCAGAAGTTAATAAATAAATTTATCTACCACACGATCAATCTGTATCTCAGGTCATTTCGGGTTCCTTTTTATTTCAATAATTCGCTTGCGCGTAGGGGTCTTTAGCAGTGTGTGTGTGTATGAGGGGGGGGGGGCTGGAGGACCTGGAGAAAACCCAAGAGATTGGACAGGCAGCCCTACTCCTTGTCACGTACAACCGGGGATTCGAAACCACACCAGTTGACTCAATAACAGACCTTATCATACAGCGCGCTCGTGCTAACCATTTGGCCCCCCACCCTCCCGTGAATCTGTTACCTACAATCAATAACTAGAGTCAATCATGTATAATGATATTTTATAATGAGATCGACACTGTCTGTCTGTCATTATTGAGTATAATTACATCAAAGAATCGGTACACGTGGACAATTAGTTTTCGACAACTTCACTGAATAAAAATTGTAGCATGACGCATTTTAGAACAAAGGCCAGTGAGGTACAGATTGATCGTGTGGTAGATAAAGTTATATATTAACTTCTGAAATAAGGTTGCATTAATAAAGGTGTATTATAAATTAGGTCTAAGCGCTATTCTAACCTACGTATTAGTCCGTTTGTTAAATCCTGTTTCTATACCTATATAAATTCAAGTCAAACTTCCATTAAATCACTTAGCAGTATCATCATTACTAGAACAAGGTAAGGTTTATTTTCTGTATTTCGTTGGTTTATTATTTATCATTATTTATTTTTATTGCGAGTTGGGTATTTCTATGTTAATCCAACTGCCATTTGTTTAGGGGCCAAGGGATGTCAGTGAACATGTGGTATGTTGAGTGGTTAGTCTTTCGGAATGCGCAAAAGACCGAGGTCTTCCTCAACCTGCGTATTTGTGACGAAACGAAAACACAACTGTTGGAATTATGCAGCTTATACCCCCACCCCACTCTTTCCTAAAACTTTGGACAATATTTAAGGTATTAAAAACGGTTACGATATTGCTTGTCTCCAAACAGTATTGTTTACATCGTATGCGTGTTGATAGCCTCGTTTGTCACGCAATTAGTTTTTCAGCAATATTCTGCTATGCACTGGTTAATTGGGCATAATATAATCGCAAGTCATGACGTAACGTTATGTAACCTTATTTGGTCGAATTTGGAGCTCTGTTTAAAGCGTAATGATATTGTTAAGCAGTTAGCTATTGGTTGTTAATCGGACTATTGACTAGTCATAATTTAGAACAGACATTTGCTTCCATTACAGCAGTGTTAAGTGAGATTAGCTCTAATCAAACGAAACACTGCGAGAAATATGTATGTATGTATGCCTACGTAATTGGAAGACGATGATGGCATCATGCAGTGTCAACTGTCAAATTGTCCTTAACAGGAACCTGGCAAACCCCCTCCTGCCAAAATTCCTGGATCCGTCTTCATACCCGCGTGTGAATCTTTGCTATCACAAGCAAGTGATCATTTATAAACCTATAAATATACTAAAATGTATGTTCTGTCTTTTCAACTGAACAACTCGACGCTGTTCCTAGCCATGCTCAGACCATGGCATCTTTATGCAGGTCATCTTGAGACTAACATATAACATTCTTTGTTTATCTATGGTTGCCGCGGGGCTGTTGTTACAATCAGTATGCTCACGAATATTGATAAAAGATACATAACAAGCTTAGAACATTTACTGCCTTAAACAGTTCAAAGCAACCCATAGTCCATAGACAGATGTACAGTCTCTAAATCTACTTTGGAATCTACAACTTTGTCCGACATTATGGGCATTTGATGATATGTGGTTTTTTATAAATGACATCTCGAAAGACAATTCCACCCTTTCAATTATGAATAATATAACTTCAGAGAGAAAATGTTTAAAATATAATTAATTTCCATTTGTGATAGTTTTGCATTGATGAAGTTCACTTACTATTTAGTCGAGTCTACCTTTCTTTTTGCATTGATGAAGTTCACTAACTATTTAGTCAAGTCTAACTCTCATGTTTTTGTCTGTCAAACCTCGTGTGTTTTCTCCTGGTCCTCCGGTTTTCTCCCACCGTTAAAGACCCCTACGCGCAAGCGATTTATAGAAATAAAAAGAAATTTTATGTTAGTCCCGAAATGACCATTTATGAGAGAGAGAGAGAGAGAGAGAGATAGAGAGAGAGAGAGAGAGAGAGAGAGAGAGCATTAATGGTAAGAGAATGTTATTCAAATAAATCCTTTATTATTTCAGATGAAATTATTGGCTGGTGTTTTGATTTTCGGACTACTTTTTGTCCATACAGAGGCATGGTTGACCCCAAGCATCCGAATCCCAGCCGTCCGAATCCCAAGCATCCCACCAATCCGAAGCATCCCAATGCCACGAATACCAGATATCCGAGTCCCACGATTTCGTTTGGGATGGAAAAAACGGGATGTGATTCAAGACTCTCAGTAAGGTAAAGCATTTTCATTGTCAATGTAATTAGTAACATTCCAATTACTTTGTAAATGTAACCATTAGGTTGTTAGTATTTGACCATTACATGTCATTAGGGGTGTAATTAATTAGGGGTACAATCCTCCATTACTTATAACATGACCATTACGTTAAAACTTGCAATCATTACATTTTGTTACACATTACCCTAGCTTTTAGCTGTCTATAAGACCAGAATCTATGTACTGAATTATGTTCGTATCGTCATGTTTCCTCTTTCAAAGCATAATGAACTAATCTTTAATACACTTGCCTTACTATTCATTCTAAATTTAATTCCGAAATGAACTAGTTTGTGTCGAGTGGACGTTAAACCCCATTTCTCTCTCTCTCATTCTACATGTCTTTGGGTCAATAATATATTAATGAATTCGGGCAGGTATTGGCATCGTGCCTGATAGTTGTACCGGTTTTCGTACACGAGGCAGAGTCTGCTTACTCTTTCTAGAACATAAAATATTAGTCAACTGTGAAATAAATAAAGGGGTTCATCTAACTATATATTGATATACTCTTTATTCAGTTGTGAAAGACTTTGTGGGTTGTCTCTGCTGTTTTCATATACTTTTTGTATTCGGATTGTCTGATTCATGTATAAAAACTAAATTGTTTTTCTATTTTTTTGTTTCAGACGATAGTGATAAAGATATGACCTGGTTATGTCCCTGGAATAACGACATTGATAGTGATAAGGATTTGACCCAAGACCTTGGAATAATGACCTGGCTATGTCTACGGGATAACGACATTGAAATTATAATTTATATGATAAAGCTGTATTGATCATCATAACTGCATAACAAATAAATCAAATATTTTATTTGACATTATGTGTGGTCTATTTTAGTTGGGGGGGGGGGGGGGTGGCCGAATGGTTAGCGTGTGTGCGTTGTATCATAAGGTCTGTCATTGATTCAACTTGTCGCCTGTCCAGCCTCGTGTGTTTACTCCCACTGCTAAAGACCCCTAACGCGCAAGTAATTTATTGAAATAACCATATGTTAGTCTCGAAATAACCTAGTTTGTGTCGAGTGGACGTTAAACCCCATTTCTCTTTTTGGGAGGGATGAAGAACTTACAATCAGCCCCTAGACACCAACCCACCCTCTTGTCGTCAACTCTCCAATTTCTAAAATTCGTTTATGCAATGTGTTGGACACTTGGGAATTCCAAGGTGGGAGTGGGGGAGGGGGGGTATCGCCACCCCAGAGAAATAGTTTGGAAACCCGGTTTTTACGAGTAGTTGTTTGATTATGTATGGTAATCAGGCGTTTGAGGGACCTTTCCGAGATATTATCACATTTCCCGCCAATTTTAGGAATTCCACACATCAACCCCACAAAGCAGACCACATCCTATAGATGAATGTTGTTCAACGCCTTTTAAACACTAGTTTGTGTTTATTTTGAGATTGAAACTGACAGAGATTGTGTGTGAGTGTGTGTGTATGTGTGTGAGAGAGAGGGGTGTGGGGTGGGGGTATAAATCATACAGATAAAATACAAGTTATGAATGGAATATATGGTTTAGTGTCAGGTAACAGCGTCAGCCTGTTAGTCTGAAACCAAGAACTTTTCAGACAGAATAAAACACAGATCCTATTTCGTTTCGTTTTTTATAGTTCGAAATTTCGTTTTATTTGTCTACTACACTAGGATCTGGAAGGTCTGTTACAGCGACTTCTTGGCTGGCCATGCACGGAACTGTGGGTAAACCTTTAGAAACGTCAACGCTGATTGATTAATCAATATCTGACGTCATAGGACCTCTGACGCGACCGTTAAATTTTGCCCAGACAACGGCACTATGGCCTACTCTTACAGCAAATTCCAACTTTCAAGGAATCTTTTACGTGCACGCCAAAGTGTACACGGGACCTCGGCTTTTCGCAACATCCGAACATCGGCTTTTCGCAGACAGCTGTGATTGTCAGGCCCTCCGTCCTGCATCACTGACAAAGGGGAACCCCGCCGGAAAATCTGGATGAAATTTATTGAAATAAAATTGAACCATGTGTTAGTCCCAAACCAAAATGACCTCTCTCTCTCTCTCTCTCTCTCTCTCTTTCTTCGGAAGGCGGGGGGGGGGGCAATAACTACGATTACTTCAAGGGTAAGATGAAGAAGGTAAAGTATTTTACTGGTATTTCATCGGTTACTACTGTTAAGGGGGGATACTACTCGATAATATGCATTTTAAAATATACTAAACCGCAAAAAAACAAAACAAACGTCAGTACGATTTCAAAATCAGAGAGGCACTTTAATCAAATCATTCTAGAAAATGACTTGCTAAATGGATCAAAGCAATTTTATGTGAACAGTATGTTGACACATTGGTGATTAATTCATCACAATTCCAAGACATTACGCGAAGGTTTAGAGTCTGTACAGTCTATATACATCAGTATCTGGTGTGTCCACCGCGAGTGTCAATAACAGCAGGGCAGCGTCTGTACATGGAGTGGACCAGACGACTGATGAACGCCATTGGCACCTGGAACCACACTCTCAGAAAAGCCTGGCGCAATCCATCGGCTGTGTGTGGCCTCGGTGCGACGTTATTAAGTCTCCTCTGAATTTCATCCCAAAGATGTTCAATTAAGGGCTGGTCAGTGCATAACGTTGACACCGTTCTGTTGTGGGCACGGGCGTTGTCATGCTGGAAAAAGTTCTTTCGATGAAGTGCGAAATGTGGTGTGACGTGGGGTCTGAGAGCTTGATCGATGTAGCGCACTGCTGTGATGCCGCCTCCTTTCCCTGGAATACCACAGGACCCACTCTCTGGTTCTGGTCGATCCACCCCAAACAATTATGCTTGGACGTCTCCATGAGTCTCGTTCCATGACACATTGGTCAGAATAACGCTGGCCACGTCGACGCCATATTCTGGTTGATACGCAATACCAACTCTCATCTGTGTACAGAACAGTTCTCCATTGCCTGTGTCGCCAGTTCTGGTGTTGTTGGGGGCAAACTGTAGACGTCCATGTCGATGGCGAGGGATGAGAATCGGTCCACGGTAAAGTCTACGGCAATGGATGTTCTCTTTGGTGAGACGCAGAGGCGTAACCGTGAAATATATATTGGGGAGGGCGGGGGGCGAGGGTCCTCAAATGAAATTCTATAACATGTTGACAATCTGTGACGCTGGAGGTACGATGCTGCGCATCAGCCGATGTAGCGCAATAGGGAGAGTGTTGGAGGGTCACCCAGTAAAATACTTTACCTTCTTCCTCTTACCCTTGAAGTAATCGTAGCTATTGCCCCAACCCCCGCCTTTCGAAGAAAGCGAGAGAGAGAAAGAGAGAGAGAGAGAGAGAGAGGGTGGGGTATTTTGGTTTGGGACTAACACATGGTTCAATTTTATTTCAATAAATTTCATCCAGATTTTCCGGCGGGGTTCCCCCTTGTCAGTGATGCAGGACGGATGGCCTGACAATCACAGCTGTCACAGCCAGGCTTTTCTGAGAGTGTGGTTCCAGGTGCCAATGGCGTTCATCAGTCGTCTAGTCCACTCCATGTACAGACGCTGTCCTGCTGTTATTGACACTCGCGGTGGACACACCAGATACTGATGTATATAGACTGTACAGACTCTAAACCTTCTCGTAATGTCTTGGAATTGTGATGAATTAATCACCAATGTGTCAACATACTGTTCACATAAAATTGCTTTGATCCATTTAGCAAGTCATTTTCTAGAATGATTTGATTAAAGTGCCTCTCTGATTTTGAAATCGTACTGACGTTTGTGTTGTTTTTTTGCGGTTTAGTATATTTTAAAACGCATATTATCGAGTAGTATCCCCCCTTAACAGTAGTAACCGATGAAATACCAGTAAAATACTTTACCTTCTTCATCTTACCCTTGAAGTAATCGTAGTTATTGCTCCCCCCCCCCCCGCCTTCCGAAGAAAGCGGAGAGAGAGAGAGAGGTCATTTTGGTTTGGGACTAACACATGGTTCAATTTTATTTCAATAAATTTCATCCAGATTTTCCGGCGGGGTTCCCCTTTGTCAGTGATGCAGGACGGAGGGCCTGACAATCACAGCTGTCTGCGAAAAGCCGATGTTCGGATGTTGCGAAAAGCCGAGGTCCCGTGTACACTTTGGCGTGCACGTAAAAGATCCCTTGAAAGTTGGAATTTGCTGTAAGAGTAGGCCGTAGTGCCGTTGTCTGGGCAAAATTTAACGGTCGCGTCAGAGGTCCTATGACGTCAGATATTGATTAAGATTAATCAATCAGCGTTGACGTTTCTAAGGATTTACCCACAGTTCCGTGCATGGCCAGCCAAGAAGTCGCTGTAACAGACCTTTCAGATCCTAGTGTAGCAGACAAATAAAACGAAATTTCGAACTATAAAAAACGAAACGAAATAGGATCTGTGTTTTATTCTGTCTGAAAAGTTCTTGGTATCAGACCAACGCTGTTACCTGACACTTAACCATATTCCATTCATAACTTGTATTTTATCTGTATGATTTATACCTCCACCCCCACCCCATCCCTTTCACACACACACCCTCACACACCCACACACACACCCAATCACACAACCACACTCTCTGTCAGTTTCAATCTCAAAATAAACACAAACTAGTGTTTAAAAGGCGTTGAACAACATTCATCTATAAAATGTGGTATGCTTTGTAGGGTTGATGTGTGGAATTCCTAAAATTGGCGGGAAATGTGATAATATCTCGGAAAGGTCCCTCAAACGCCTGATTACCATACACAATCAAACAACTACTCGTAAAAACTGGGTTTCCAAATTGTTCCTCTGGGGTGGGACATCACCCCCTCCCCCACCCCCACCTTGGAATTCCCAAGTGTCCAACACATTGCATAAACAAATTTTAGAAATTGTGAAATTGGAGAGTTGACGACAAAAGGGTGGGTTGGTGTCTATGGGGTGATTGTAAGTTCTTCTTCCCTCCAAAAAAGAGAAATGGGGTTTAACGTCCACTCGACACAAGTTAGGTCATTTCGGGACTAACATATGGTTATTTCAATAAATCACTTGCGCGTTAGGGGTCTTTAGCAGTGGGAGTAAACCGGATGTACCGAAAAAGACACACGACGCTGAACAGGCGAGCAGTTGAATCAATGACAGACCTTATGATACAACGCACACACGCTAACCATTCGGCCATCCACCCCCACCCCACCAACTAAAAACGACCACACATAATGTCAAATAAAATATTTAATTTATTTGTTATGCAGTTACGATGATCAATACAGCTTTATCATATAAATTATAATTTCAATGTCGTTATTCCGGGGATATAGCCAGGTCGTTATTCCAAGGTCTTAAGTCAAATCCTTATCACTATCAATGTCGTTATTCCAGGGACATAGCCAGGTCATATCTTTATCACTATCGTCTGAAACAAAAAAATAGAAAAACAATTTAGTCTTTATACATGAATCTGACAATCCGAATACAAAATGTATATGAAAACAGCAGAGACAATCCACAAAGTCTTTTTCCAACTGAATAAAGAGTATATCAATATATAGTTAGATGAACCCCTTTATTTATTTCACAGTTGACTAATATTTTATGTTCTAGAAAGAGTAAGCAGCCGCTGCCTCGTGTACGAAAACCGGTACAACTATCAGGCACGATGCCAATACCTGCCCGAATTCATTAATATATTATTGACACAAAGACATGTAGAATGAGAGAGTGAAATGGGGTTTAACGTCCGCTCGACACAATCTAGTTCATTTCGGAATTAAATTTAGAATGAATAGTAAGGCAAGTGTATTA